AAGGTCGTGGTGCAGCCACTATTCACGACGTAACAGTGTCGAAGGCGCAAAGAGAACATCAAACTGTCTCGTCGCCCGAACTGACTGAGCTTTTCAACAAGAGGGAGAAGACGCAAAGCGCCCTGGCGCGTTGCCAAAAATCTATTGCGTCGCTCGAGAAATACCTGGGCTCATTAACCGTGGAGCACCTCGAGGTTTCAAACCTGGAGAGTGTGATGGAAACCTACGACTCCACGGGTGAGAAGTTGGACGGCAGGCAATCTGAACTCACCGAACAGCTACGCATTATCGACGCCGACATTGCCCACGAAAATGCGCGGATCGCGGTACCGCAAGAAAATGACAAACTGCAGATGAAGGCTGCCATCGGAGTTTTTGCTCCAGAAGGAGGCGATGTCGAGATCGCCTTGATCTACAGTGAGCCTTCCGCACATGAATCTCCGAAAGTATTCATGAATATATTGCAGCGGTTCCGTGGGCTACCTGGATTGCGTTATACGATATCCGGGTAGACATGAACGCCAAGGACGAGCCTATTACTCTGATTTACAAGGCAGCGATCACGCAGAATACCGGAGAGGTGGGTAGTTGTTCATTTTAAATGTTGTGCACTATAATCATGAGTGCAAAAGTCCTGGGAAGACGTGCCTCTGATGCTCGAAACCTCGACACCGACTTTCGGGGTCGGGATCCCTCAATTGCCCCCTTGGAATCTGAGAGTCAGCTCCCCTTCCATCCCCGTCATGGGGGGTTTTCAGCCCACAGCTGCTATGTATGCGGCAAGCAGTTCTGGTTCTAGTTCCTCGGCTCCGCGTGCTCGTCGCGCTCGACGCCAGTCGTATTTCCCTGAGTCTTTTGTTCTGTTTGTTCCGGGACTTGCACCAATGCCCGTTATGACCACCTCTGTGACGTCGAAGGGGAATGTCAGTTAGTCTGTAGTTAACCGCGTGGCACGTCATTGGTACCCCCCACTTATTATGTAAAGTGCGGAGTTTGAATTATGACCCACAGTGTTCAACGCTTCCTGCCACTTCAACGCAAAATCCTAGGAGGCAAAGTATATTTTATGCTCACTCTGAAGAGAACTATCTCTTGAGATTTTATGTTTCTGTCGAGCTTTCAAGTAAACCAAAATGCTGAACAGAACACGTGCCTGCCCATCAAAATTCTACATCTTGGGTTTGAGCTCGGTGTGCGAAATTTGGCGGGAGAAGTTATTCATTATGGTATCATGAATGAGATTCCAACGTGAAAACCGGCGAAAACGCGTCGTAAATGTGGGAACGACACCCGAGAAATTCGGGATTACATAATAGTGTCGGGTACCGATGTCAGTGATCGAGTAATCGACAGACTACAACACGCGAGGTACGAGCGAGAATTGTTGTAGCGTCTGTTTATAAGAGACTAAATGTCAGTGCAACCTTCCGTGTTCCTGGCTTGGTATCCATTCCCAGCGACGGTGAAGCGCACAACTTCACCATTGTGAAACTTAACCTGAAGGCCGCGATGTCCTGGGTGTCCGTCCCGAAAATTGACACCAAGGCTCATATTACTGTACGAATTCAACCACATTTTTTATGGGATGTGATCGGGCTGACTCGGATGCGTCCTCCACAGGCGCGAATCACCAACGCGTCTGAATATACGCTGCTGAGTGGCACTGCCAGCGTGTACGTCGATGGAAGCTTCATATCGCGGTCGCAAGTTCCTCCAGTCAGCCCGCAAGAAAGTTTCGAGTGTCCTTTAGGGTGCGGGATCAACCAAACTTCCATCCAGCCACAAAGTTCGCTTACCTGTTCCTCAGCGTCGACCCATCCATCCGAATCACGTACCACCCCGTCATCAAGAAGGTCTCGCGATCGGGCTTCTATACGAAGAGAGCCAATTACGCCTTCTCACAACGAATTACGGTGTTCAACACGAAGAGCACCACGGTCGATCGTCTCAAGATCGTCAGCCACATTCCAACCTCGCAGGATTCCCAGATCGAAGTCAAGCTCGTCAATCCCGCGTTGACATTGCCATCGGAGACTGGCACAGAAAGGCCCGGCATAAAGGTCGCGCCAAAGAGTCCCGCACCGCAAATGTTGAAAATCGCCCAGGGAGTGGTAGCGCAGTGGGATGGTGTTGATGGGCCCGATGCTGCGGTGGAGTCACTGGGGTTGGACCGGAAGCTGAATTGGATTTGCTCAGTGGCTTCGCAAGCTAAGATAAACCTGGTACTGGATTGGGAGGTCACTGCGCCTGCTAGTTTGCAGATTGTTGGTCTATAATGTTTCAAATACTATCTGGCGTCCGGTGTGGAATATTGATTGAGAATAGAACGGCGTATGGCAGACGTATTGTGCTTGGTGAATTCTAGGTACTACAAAGTCGCCATCACAGATTACGAGATCTCGGGCAGCGAGCCGATGCAAGGATACCGGCCGATTTGGGCAATGGTTTGAACTCATATCAACGCTCTTGAAAATCCGTCGCGCCTTTGATCATATTTAGGCATTGAAATTTTCTTGTACATATTTTATGTACACCTTGTGGTTGTTCTGAGGCGAGTCATACCAAGGTCGTGTAGATACTACTTGTACGTGCTTTCCAACAATGGATCCAGATAATCCAATCATGCCCGTCGGAACGGCCACTCGTCGCCAAACTCGTTCTGGGTACAGCCACGATATTCTTCAATCACGAGTTGCCCACTTGTCTCTGCGTGCAGCATCTGGCGCCTCACACTGTCGGAAAAAGTGGCGAAGTGCTCGGCGCCATTCTTGAGTGCGAAATTCACCCGCCAGCGGATCAGAGGGGCCGCGGGATGCACTGTAAGTGCGGCATCCAATGCGGCCATGGATTCTGTATCTGGGGCGCGCGGGAGCTGAGAGTCCCCACGTGAGGAGCGGAATGTGAGGACAATCTCGGCAAGGGCGAAGCTGGCCCCTGATGTGAGGATGGAGGTAATGGTGTCGAGGACCCCAGTGATGCGCTGGGCGGAGAAACCAATCAAAACCTCTATGAACTGGAGGGCGGGGAGAACCGGTAGGGGGATGGTCGACCGCACTTCGGAATCTAATCAAGCTTATTACATGCAGTGCGCAAGAATTTGCGTTTGGCACTCACCATTGCAGCTGAAATGAATATGCTGGAGAGTGTTTGCGGCGGCTACAATCAACACCATGGTTTCGTCGTGGTTGGGGTCGATTGACAATCGGCGTAGACCCGCTATATGGGATTGATGTTGCGGGCAGGCGAGGAATGCGTAGACATCTCTTGACTCGGTATTTAGAACCAAGTTCTCGATGGTACCCGCATTTTGTGAAGCGTCCTCAGCGTCGATGGATACATCTTGGAAGGAGATGAAAGGAGCTGGTCTACGGAAGGCCGCCGACGGAATTCCACTGATGAGTTGGAGATGCAGCTCCCGGAGCGATTGCTGCGAAAAGAAATGCAGGAAGGCTGCAGACAGTCCCGGTGTCAGAGCACTCCATCTGAGCCTCCGATAGTGACCAGTGACCATACACCAGCGCACATTCACCAGCTTTTCAAGAACCTGCTGGAGATTGCAAAGACTGTCAAAGCGTGCTGGGGGAACCTGCAGTATGATTTTCAGGTGTTTTATATACGCGGCGACGTGTGGTGATTCCTCGAATAAAATGCATGCTGCACCGAAATTTGGGGACTCGGCCCAGTTCTTTGGCCAACAGGTCAGCGTGATGGAGCGTAGGAGAATTTGTTGACACGGATCACGAAACATTGGACCCGCAAGGCAGCAGGCTTTCAGCGATTTTATATCATCGAGTTTGGAGATGATGCTGTCGACGAGTTCCTGTGGAATGAAGATCATACGGAGGATAGAAGAGGGATAGAGTAGGATAGATCGCACACGGCAATCGAGGCCTTCCTAGGCTTTCGTCGAAGGGCAGGAAGAAGGCGATGACTCATCCGTTGTCGTTGATTGCCGGACGCCGGCACCGAATTCAGACAAGTACGTTCGCACGAAACATTGTTCGCCCTGCAGAAGGGCCTCAAGAATTGAGGCACCACCGGGAGGGTGAGAAATAATCCCTGAAATTGCCAAAAACAAATACAGTTTTTACAGAGCAGGAGAGGGACCCAGTGGTGAAATCAATCACGCCTGCGCTGCATACTTAGTGCGCACTTGGCGTCGGCGAGGAGCTCCCGGTTCGGGTTGGGTCATGGCGCCTTGTGTTCTGTTCTTTTTTAGGCTTCGGATGTGTTTCTTGCATGACAGCTAAGTGAGAAACATTAGACACCTTTCAAATTTCAAGCAAAGTTCAGGCCGAGGAACAAAGGTGCCAAATTTAGTTTGTCATCGCTGAAAAAACCATTCAAAAGCCAAGTTGGAGCACTGGCCGTGAAGTTCTAATATGACCCCAACGCCAAAATTAGCACCGATGACACTCGGCCCGAACTTTGCTCTAAAATGCAAAGGTGTCTATTGTTTCTCACTTAGCTGGAATTGAGGTTAAGAGGGGAGGGAGGAAGACCCAATGGTGAAACAAATCATTCCCGCTTTTGTTAGGATTGCTCCTACAGTAGCTGCGGCGGGAGCTCCGGTTCGAACCGGGTTGGGTGATGGTGCGTTTAATTTTACTGCCTAAAAGCTATTCATGGTAGGAAAGAGATCTAATGGTGAAATGAATCACACCCGCCTTCATTGGTATAGATATATATTTCAATGTCAGCGGAAGCTCCCGGTTGGACTCCGGGTTGGGTCATAGTTGTCTCTGTCAATGGTAGCCCTTTTAAATTTAAATTCCTAGCTCACATGGAATTTCGCTTCCATAAATATAACTGTGAAATGTGAGGAAAGAGACCCAGTGCTGAAAGGAATCACGCTAGCATAATACTGTGTTTGTGAGGATGTTGGCAGGAGCTCCCGCTTCGAATCCGGGTTGGGTCCTGGTTTCGTTCCAACGAAAGCCTTTTTTGTGGCTCGTGCACTTGATTTTGTTGGGTAAATAGGATTGAAGGGGAAAAAGGAAGGCCCAATGGTGAAAGGAATCACACCCGCCTTCATTGTAACGCAAGAAAATGCCTAGTCAGCGGGAGATCCCGGTTCGACTCTGGGTTGGGTCATAGTGCTCTGTACTCTGCATTTTTTTTTAGGTTTCCGGGTTTTACGAGGGGTGAAAGAGACCCAGCTCTATGTAATCACATGAATTGACCCCAGAACTCTGGCATAAAGCGAGATTCTATGAGGTTGAAAAGAGATCCAATGGTGAAACGAATCATCCCCGCTTCTCTTGAGATTTGCAGCGGGAGCTCCCAGTTTGACTTCGGATTGGCTCATGGTCATCAAAGTCTAACACTTTTTTGTTGCCTTTGCACATGATTTCCTACATGAATACAACTGTGCAAGGTATGAAGGAAGACCCAGTGATGAAATGAATCATGTCTACATTGCGTATATTCACTGCGTTCAGCGGGTTGATAGCCGCGGGTTCGGCTAGGTGTTGCTAGATCTGGCTATGTTTAGCCTAGATGTTGAGGGTCGCCTAGCCAGGGTCGTATAGCCACGGTCTGATTAGATGTTGCGAGGTTATGGCGAGGCCGCATAGCCGCCCCGCGGCTAGCCCTCGGCTAGCCCACCCGCCGAACCTCGCCAAGCCCCGCTACCTGACGCTAGACGATGGGCAAGCCCTAGCCGCACGTGGCTAGACCGGCTAGCGGCATCTAGACGGCACCTCCGGCTATCTCTGGCTCGGCAGTACTGCGGCTATCCGTCCGCTGAACGCAGTGATTTGTGCAACATTGCGTGAGCAGGAATTCTGTTCGACTCCGGATTGGGTCATGATGCTGCTTGCTACTTCTTTTTCTCTCACCTGCTCTGTATGAAACACACACATAAAACAAGTTTTTAATAGGTACAGAGTTGAAACCCAGATGCGAAAAAAAAACAAGTTCTTCCGCATTTCTCAATGGCAAGGCAGAAAATCGTAATTCAAAGTTGGGGGATGCAATACTATTACCTCGTAGTGTATGCTCAAATATTTTCAGATTTCTTCGGTGAGTAGTTGTGCCGCATGAACACATTGTTTTTGTGACCTGTTTTGGTGGAGGACCCCGATCCGAAAAATCGGGTCACGTACACGTGCCGATCGCACTCTCACGCCAATCTGTAGCTCTGAGGAGCGAGAGGGAGTGCTGAAACCCCCCCATGCACAATATCAGGTCTGGAAAATGTGGCAGACACTCACAATTACGATACTCTCCTCAAGACTTCTGGCACAGCCACAAAATTTCGTTTTTGGCACGTTTTCGATTTTTTGTGCTCGCCGACATTTGACGGGGGGTTCTTTGACTGTCAAGCATTGCTCACTATATCTATAAGAGTATTTCCAAAAAAAATAGGATCAACCACGTCAAAATTGAGCCTATAATTCTATATTTTTCGCATCCGGGTCTTTTTCGCATCTGGGTTTCAACTCTGTATACAAGAGACCCAGTGGTGACATGAATCACACCTGCTCTACATGTGTTTTCGCATTGCATGTTCACAGGGTCTCCTGGGTCATGCATGGTAAACCATGGCTTTTTTTTTCGTCCTATTTCCCCACAAAACCCAAATAAATAAAGCTGTCTATGGTAGGGAGGAAGACCCAGTGGTGAAAGGAATCACATCCGCCTTCCTTTTAAAGAGACCTACCAATCATCTCAGAAGGAGATCCCGGTTCAAATCCGGGTTGGGCCCTGATTCATCCTCAAGTTCTACCCCTTTTTAATTTAACGTCGCTCACATGGAATTTTGTTGCATGAAACGAGGTTTTATACTGTAGAAAATACCCAATGGTGAGTAGGGCAGAAGATCCAGTGGTGAAAGGATCACACCTGTCCTCAGTGCATATGCTTTGACACTCGTGTTGGCAGGAATTCCCAGTTCGAGTTCGGGTTGGGTCATAGTTCTTTTCTTAACCTTTTCTAATTTTAATTCCTCGCTTGTCTGTAATTTGCTGCATAAATACACCTGTTCATGGTGGGTAAAGAGACCCAGTGGTGAAATGAATCACACCTGCATTCCGTATGTTCTCCAGTGCCCGTCTGAACGGCCACTTGTCACCAAACTCGTTCTGGGTGCAGCCACGATATTCTTCAATCACGAGTTGCCCACTCGTTTCTGTGTGCGGTATCTCGCGCCTCACACTGTCGGAAAAAGCGGTGAAGTGCTCGGCGCCATTCTTGAGTGCGAAATTCACCCGCCAGCGGATCAGAGGGGCCGCGGGATGCATTGCAAGTGCGGCATCCAACGCAGCCATGGATTCTGTATCTGGGGCGCGCGGGAGCTGGGAGTCCGTACGCGAAGAGCGGAATGTGAAGACGATCTCGGAAAGAGCGAGGCTAGCACCTGATGTGGGGATGGAGGTAACAGTGTAGAGGACCCCAGTGATGCGCTGGGCGGAAAAGCCAGTCAAAACCTCTATGTAGGGGGATGGTCGACCGCACTTCGGGTCGCGCCTTTAATCATATTTAGGCCTTGGAATTTTGTCGTACATATTTTATTTACATCCTGTCGTTGTTCTGAGTCGAGCCATGCCAAGGTCATGCAGATACTATGTACTTGTATGCGTTCTGTTGCAGCCGAAAAACTATATCCAGATAATCCATCCAATCATGTACGTCGGAACGGCCACTCGCCGCTTAATTCCTTCTTGGGGTACTCCTCAACCATGAGTTTCCCACTCGTCTCCGCATGCGGCATTTCGCGCCTCATACGATCGGAAAAAGCGGCGAAGTGCTCGGCGCTATTCTTGAAATTTACCCGCCAGCGGATCAGGGGGGCCGCGGGATGCACCGCAAGTGCGATATCGAACGCGGCTATCGAGTCTGTATCCGGAGAGCGCGGGAACTGGGAGTCCTCAAGCAAAGGGCAGATTGTGAGGACGATCTCGGAAAGAGCAAGGCTGGTCCCTGATGTGAGGATGGAGGTAATGGTGTCGAGGACCCCAGTGTTGCGTTGGGCGGGAAAGCGAGTCAAAACCTCTATGAATTGGAGGGCGGGGAGAGCCGGTAGGGGGATTGTCGATCCCAGTCTGGAATCTGATCAAGCTTGTTACATGCGGTGCACAAGAATTTACGTTTGGGACATACTACTGCAGTTGAAATGAATATGCTGGAGAGTGTTTGCGGCGGCTACAATCAATACCATGGTTTCATCGTGGTTGGGATCAATTGACAATCGGCGTAGACCCGCTATATGGGATCGATGTTGCGGGCAGGCGAGGAATGCGACGACATTTCTTGACCCAGCATGTAGGACCAAATTCTGCATGGCACCCGCATGGTGTGAAGTGTCCCCAGCGTCGATGGATACATCCTGGAAGGAAATGGAGGGAGCTGGTCGAAGGAAAACCGCCGACGGAATCCCAACAATGAGTTGGAGATGCAGCTCCCGGAGCGATTGCTGCGAAAAGAAACGTAGGAAGGCTGCAGACAATCCCGGTGTCAGGGCACTCCATCTGAGCCTCAGGTAGTGACCGGTGACCATACACCAGTGCACATTCACCAGCTTTCCGAGAACCTGTTGGAGACTGCAAAGACTGTCAAAGCGTGCTGGGGGAACCTGCAGTATGATTTTCAGGTGTTTTATATATGCGGCGACGTGTGGTGATTCTTCGAGTAAAGTGCATGCTGCACCGAAATTTGGGTACTCGGACCAGTTCTTTGGCCAACAGGTCAGCGTGATGGAGTGTAGGAGAATTCGCTGACTCGGATCGCGAAACATTGGACCCGCAAGGCAGCAGGCCTTCAGCGATTTTATATCACCGAGTTTAGAGATGATGCTGTCGACGAGTTCCTGTGGAATGAAGGGCATACGGGGGAGTATAGAAGAGGGATAGAGTGGGATAGGTCGCACACAGCAAGTCGAGGCTTTCGTCCAAGTGAAGGGGCAGGAAGAGGCTTGAAGGCGATGACTCATCGCATCCGTCGTCGTTTAATTGCCGGACGCCGGCACATCCGAATTCAGACAAGTACGTTCGTGCGAAACATGTAAGTTCGCCCTGCAGAAAGGCTTCAAGATTTGAAGCACCACCCTTCGGAACGGAGAAATAAGGCCTGCAATCTGCAATTGGCAAAATAAACACAAATTTTACAGAGCAGGAAAGAGACATTAATCATACCCGTGCTGCATACTTGGTGTGCACTTGGTGTCGGCAAGGAGCTCCCGGTTAGACACTGGGATTGGTCATGGTGCCTTGTGCTCTGTTTTTTTTTAGGCTTCGGTTGTGTTTCTTGCATGAATTGAGGTTAGGAAGGAAGGGAGGAAGACCCAATGGTAAAACGAATCATGCCCGCTTCTGTTAGGGTTGCAGTAGATGCAGCGGGAGATCCCAGTTCGAGCCCGGGTTGGGTCATACTATGGCTTGGCCGCCATATTTTTGCGCCATCTGCTCTCGCATGAATTACACATGAGCTCTCTGTTAAATCTAGGTGTTAGCAGGTTGAAAAGAGACCCAAAGGTGAAAGGAATCACAACTGCATTCCGTATGTTCTCCAAGATTGCGTGAGTAGGAGTTCCCGGTCCGACTCCGGGTTGGGTCATGCGTTCTCAACCTTCCACTTCTTTTTTCCTATCTGCTATCTACTCGTATAATTTGACCACAGAATTCTGGCATAAAGCAAGATTTTAATAGGTATAAAAGAGACCCAATGGTGAAAGGATCACACCTGCCCTGCCTATTTTCTTTCCGTCTAAGGATGCCGTGGGAGTTCCCGGTTCGACTCCCTTGTCATGGATACAGCCTTATAAGCGGGGAATCCCGGTTTGACTCTGGGTTGGGTCATCAGTCTTGTTTTCTTTATGTTTTTCTTCTTCATGGCCTCCACATAAATTTGCCTGGATAAATACAGTTCTTCAGGGTAGGGAGGAAGATCCAGTAGTGAAAGGAATCACGCCCGCTTCGGTTCATAAAAATTTGACAAATCAGTCAGTACTAGTGGGAGCTCCCAGTTCAACTCCGGGTTGGGTTATGGCGGAAATCCATAACCCTTTTTGCCCCACACATAATTTCCTACATGAATACAGCTTTTATAAGGTAGGAAAGAGACCTAGTGGTGAAAGGAATCACGCCCACTTCTCTTGCGACTTGCAAAGAATGCAGCAGGAGCTCCCGGTTCGAGTCCGGGCTGGGTCATGATTCCTTGTCCGACCTCTTTTTAGTTCTAATTCATCGCTCGGCGGTAATTTTGCTGCATAAATACAGCTTTTATAAGGTAGGAAAGAGATCCAGTGGTGAAAGAAATCACACCTGCATTCCATGATTGTGTGTATTGGTATATAAGCAAGAGATCTCGGTTCGATTCCGGGTTGGGTCATATATCTCTAGTAGCTCTTTTTAGTTTAAATACGTCGCTCGGCCACCTGTAAAGCCCACAGTACCCCAGTAGTAAGAGGTGGAGAAGTGGTGCTTATCCACCTCTTATTTAAGTCGTTTGCGGTATATCACGCGCAGCCGTTAATTATGCCTAGTTCTACCGCTAATAGCACTAAATAGCAATAGCAATAGCAATAATTAACCAATACCGATAGCTATTTAAGATCCCGCCTTACTGTTGCCATCAAGGACGGCATGGCCACCGGCGCGCGATCAACAGCGATCAGCGCCATCAAATCCGCCCCCAGCGCCGCCGCACAAGTCCCCGCTGGCCTCAAAAATGCACCTAAATTCACGAAATAAATATAGGAGCTAGATCTGGGGACCCCTGACCCGCCTATGTATATTTTACCTCAAACGAGGCAGTCGCCGTGCAATAATGTCATATTTGAAGTCCAATTCATCACATAAGGTCATATAAAAATATGCAGTAGGTAGCAAAAAACACGCAGTAGGTAAGGATGGGCATAGGGTAGGAGGGGCGAGGGTACAGGAAACTACGCGTGCACCCAGCGCTCAACGGGACTTGCGCGGGCCCTTCACCGTGCCGGCGTCCGAGCGCTTCTTGCGCACCTTCGGCGGCGCCTCCCCCACGGGAGGTGCATTTTCCGCAGTCTTTCGCGTGCCGGCGTCCGAGCGCTTCTTGCGCGACTTCTTGACAGGCGGCGCATCCTCGCTGTCATTCGACGCTGTCGTTCTCTTGCGCTTCAAGCTGCTCGCGACGGCGGTGGTGTTGGTGGCTGCTGAGGTTAACGGCCCAGCACCGTTGGAGGTGGGAGGGAGCGCGGCGGTCGAGGGTGTGGAGGATATCGCCGCGAAGGATGCGACGAAGGGGGTTGTGAGGGGGGTGGACAGAGCAAGGGACCCGTCGTACCCGGACCAAGACATGCTGCCTGCCCCAAAGTCCGGGCCAAACTCCTCCATCCCGCTCTCCAGCAGCTGCAGGAGCTCGGGGTCGAAGTCGATCTCGAGGGGCTCGCGATACTCGGGCAGGGGCTGGAGCTCGGGATACACGGCCAAGTCAAAGAGGGCGGGCGTGGACTCAGTGGCGGCAGAGGGCGCCTCGAATATGCTTGCAGCGGCGTGACCAGCAGCGAGCGCGGCACTTGCTGCACGCTCCGTCGGCTGAACCCCCTCCCCCTCCTTCTCCCCGGCGTCACTCTCCTCCTCCGAGCCCTCTTCCTCCGTCGCCGCCCTCGCCTTCTTCTTCGCCGCCTTAGTCTTGGTCTTGCCTTGGTGTGGGCCTCGCGGCACGCCCTTGTCGCTTCGCGGCCTGCGCTTCCGTAAGGCACCAGCACCCAACTCCACACGCTTCGCGTTGTGCTCTGTGACGAGCGCGGCATGCTGGGTCCTCGTCATTACGACCCAGTGGATCGCGCCGCTGCGGAGCATGTCGCGGACGCGCCGCGCTGTCTCCACGCCCCATTCCGCGCGGGCCTTGATATTGATATCGACGGGCCACCCTGCAAGCTCGACAGCCTTGCCCTCGCGAATGGCAACGTCGTAATTCACGTACTCCATGAGGAGTGAGTTGTTGTTCTTGATCTTCCCTGCGCGCGAGATCAGAACGAGAGGAAAGGAGAGATGGATAGTTAGTAGGACGTACTAAGGCCATCCTGTATCAGCTTCGACACCTCCTTGCGAACATCGTTGATGCCGTTCTTCTCGCGCGAACCTGGAAGATGAAGGTCAGCAAGCAGCGGGTAGGTTGTAGAGGGAGAACATACCTTCGTCCCGCGTGCAGCTCCACTGCTCAAACTTGCGCAGGAAGTCGAGGGGGGCGATCTGCAAGACCTCGAGCAGGAAACTCATGGCATCATCCGAGTCGACACAGTGAGGGAGTGTAGGATCGTCCGCATTCCCGCGCGTGAAGAACGCGACGCCGCGGACACCCGTGCGGTCGTGTAGGTCCACAAGCTGGCTCATTATTAGTCAATCTCATGTGTTAAAAAAAATTCCAAAGCTCACTGCGTCGCCAATGCGGCTCGCCGTCTGCCTGGCATCGAGTTGTGATGCCTTTGTCGTCCCACATACGCCCCTCCTCTTGAGCATCCGGTGCTCAAGGAGCTGGTTGATGAGCCTTTGCCGCTCTTCGTCGTCGATGTCGCCCAGGACAATGGTCCCGTCCTCAATGTCCTCCGCCAAGTCCTGGCGGAGTTCATGCAGGTCTTTTTTGTCACCTGGAAATGAGATTAGCTGCTGAATCAAAAGAAGGGGAGTACAACGCACCCTCATCCTGATCAAGCCAGCGCTGATGCAGGACAGCGTTGCGCAGGCTTGGTGCACGCCTCGACTTGAACTGGCTGATGCTGCAGAGGATTCCACGAACGTAGCTCTCCTTCTTGGAGAATTCCTGAGCGATGCGCGCGACCGCTGCGTTGCGATCCGAGAACTCCTTGTCGATGGCGTCGTGAAAGTCCACCTTGCGGCCTCTTGCCTGCGCAAGCCTCAGCGAATCAGATGCCTTGGCAGCATTGGACTTTCCGGGGCGGCGGCGCGAGAGCTGAACCTGGCGGCCAGGGTTGCGGATTGCATGCGCAGAAGGAGCGGAGGGCATGTTGGTGGTGGTGGTAGAGGTAAACAAAGGTCATGTGCCGACTTCCCACTGGCATGATTGACAGTTTCTGTCAGAAGCGAAGCTGCCGTCAGGCTCATATTGTATTATTTTGGTACCAACCCTTGACCCAATGGCTCAAGGGTTCGGGTCACTGGATTGCAGAGATAGTAATATCTCTGCGAATCATCATCTCAGCCGCTGAACCAGTAGGTCTTTTGATCGACCCAATGGCAAGGTATTTTTCTGGTTTTTTTTTTTCACTTCTAAAATTGCCTCTTTTTTTCTTGCATTCCCAGCAGACCTCGTTACAAAATTTTCCCCTCAAATCACAATATTTCCTCCAATTCTACTTCCATTACATTGAGCAAACGAAACCACATGTGCATAGATCGTCAAAAAGAAAACCAATTCATTTATTCTCATTCAAGTAAATTGTCCCTCTTATGCCTTTCAATTCACCAGAAGCTTTTTCAAATTTTTTTTTCATTCAAGACACCCGTAAGTAAAATGCCGTAGGATTAGATGTTGAGATTCAACGTGGGGTCCTCGCCGAGGAAATCCCAAACTTCGCCCTCATCACGACTGAACATGAGCTCAGCGCCGGGCGTGCGCTTCAAGACCGCCACCGCGCGATCCCTAGAAAGCCGTCAAAAAAAGGGATTAGGGAGGAGAAAGGACGCACCTGTCCTGGAACACGCGGCTGCGGCCGCTCACGGCGTACAACACCGGTGCTCCCTCGCCCAATCCCTCCATATCTGCACGTGAGGCAGCGGCTGATCGGCCGTCCTCGTGGATGAGTGCCGGGGGCTCATTACCGTGTTCAATGGGGTGTTGCAGCCAGGGCGGCGCCGCGCCGCGCAGGCCCAAAACGCGCGTGAAGAGCTGGTTTGCGCGCTGCGGGCTGATCTGCCCCGGTCCCGGTCTGAAACCCGCAAGGAACGCGAGATCGTCCTTGCTGAGCTTCTCGGCGGCTTCCTTGGCGATGCGGGCATCCTCTGCAGCAAGGAATTCAGAGTGCAGGGCGTTGCGCTGCCTCTGCCGTTCCCGCAAGCTGGCTTTGGGCGGTGAAGGTGGTGGCGGTGCAACTGAGGGAGGGCGCGAAGCCGTGGAGTCAGTCAGTGTAGATGGCGAAAGAAGGTGCGCTGGAGTCAGGCGTCACGGGGAGCTCCCCGTCGTGATTGTGATAATCTGTGCAGTCCAAGTTCCACAAGTTAAGGAACTTGGACCACGTTTCAGCCTTGAAGGTGCGCGCGTCCGGGTATGTCTTCAGCATGTGAATGAGAGTCCGCCTGTGCCGGCTTGAGCAAACGTGAAGAAGTAGAGAGAGTGAAAAAAAACGCACTGAGAAGTAACGACACCCTTCCAATCTTTGGACACAATTGCGAAGAACGCCCCTTGGTGCATGTGCTGGTCTTCGTGGCCAGGGTCGGGCATGTAGATGGGGGTGCAGAGTAAGACCTTCGGCGCCGGCGCGTGCATGGTTAAGCGTGACAGAGAGAGAGAGACGTTGTTTGGCTATGGCTATTGATCTAAACAAGGCCCAGCGGGGGATGGCACAGCCACACGCGTGGTGAATTATTTTAGGGGCTCTCAATTTACTCATACTGCAGACAAAATTGTATAACAAAAGTTGTAGTAGAGTACATTTAAGGGGAGTTGAATAAAGCAATTTTTGTACGCAAATGCCCGCCATGTTCCGTCAAAACCTTGCTTTTGGGGCAAGTACATTTACATCCCGGGCAGTCGTCCCTGTTGCACGCCTTGCATGTCGGGAAAAAATGGCCCCCTTCATGCTCGATCCAGACCTCGGAGACAGGGCACATGCACGCGCAACCCGGGCATCCATCGCAGTCGCAGTCGGCGCACCGCAGCGAAACCACGGAGCGCGTACGTGCAGTGATCCCCCCCTCAAACGTCGCTGGGGCGGGCACACGGCATGCGCGCAGCTCATCATCGGAATCTTCGTTGGCGAGGTCATTTTGTTCCGGCGCCGCGCCGCGCTCACTCTGAAGACGGGTCAGGCGGCGGGCTTTCTTGGAAGAAGGCACCGCAGTCGGTGTCGCAGCGGTGGGTTTCTCAGCATGTTTCTTCAATGACTGCTTGCGCAATTCCTTGGCTTCCATTTTCCTGTAAAGTAGCTAGAGCTACCACCAAAAAACAAAAAAAGAAGCCATCCCCGCACCTGGCACACCGTTTTACAGCA